GATATGTACTTTATTAATCCCCTATTGGGGAAATTCTTCTTTTCACTCACTTTTATTCTTACACACAGACACAGGCTGAAATACACACTTAATGCACTTTTGGACATGGAACAGGGAGAGAGATGGTGGAGTGATGGGCTCGCCACGTTAGCAGCGCCCCATGAGCAGCTTTTTTGGGGTTAGGTTGCCTTGCACAAGGGCACATCGGCAGTGCACAGGAGGTGCCTACACACTGAGCTACTGCCACCCAGTTTAGGCATCAGGAGTGACATGGTTAGGGTTAGAAAGAAATGTCATAGGCAGAGCCAATCAGAAGCAGAGTAGGGGCAGAATACGGGTGGGGAAAAAAGGAAGGGCTGCGTGACTGCATTCCTGTGTAAACCCATAGCTAGCTTAAAACAGCTACTTGGCTTAAAAACAGCGCAAGGATTAGGGTTAGGGTTAGGTTGGGCTGAATTAAGGTACTGGTACCTTATTTGGTCCATTTTAGTCACTGAGACAGGCAAAGGTATGGCCCTACTTTACTGGTGACATTAACTCTCTAATAACAGTGAATGCAAAGGAAAATACAAATTAAGCTTGATTAATGTGATGTAAGTGTAAAACAATCTGGTTGAGTCAAAGACGTATTCAGCATATTACCTTAAACCACACTATAATTATACTTTACTTTTTTTATCATGAAAAACATTTTCCTTTCTGCACACGCTCACAGCAAGAGGCTACACATGGAACACAACCAGGCTGAAAAGCAGTGGCTTACACTGTCATTATTATGAGACTCAGGCACTCTGGCTTTAACTGAACGTAGCCCAGAGGGGAAAATGTGTTGGTGTCACTGTCACATCAAAATGATTAGCTGGCAAAAGCTGTAATTGAGTTGGAAACAGAGCAAAAATGGGAAGCTAGGCCTCCCATACAGTAGTCATTCCCTGTGTGTGCAATGGCAATAACCTTTGTGAGAGTGGAAAAAGAACAATGGACTGTAGCAGCAATAGGGGACCAATCGATAGGATACCAGTCCAATACCAGACCAATACCAGCCGTTGCCATGAACCACACTGTGTAGAGTGTGTGTGAGTGTATTTGTGTGTGAGAGAGGGAAATAATAGAGTATAGAAATCAGATGAGAGGTGGAGGACAGCGTATTGATATGTGAACGATAAACCCCACCCCGAATGGTCTTCATGGCAGCTCACCAAACCATCAAAAGTGAAATAGAACAATATGTTGTCTTGACAACAGTTGCCCGGCTCACTGCCAAACAGCCGTCTGGCAGCAGATGATGCTTTCGGCCAATCGAAGCAGTCCGTCTGCCAACTGGACCTGACCAATTGGATGACTGATATATGGGCTTGATGTGGGTGGTTTTATTGAAAATCAAAATATTGGCTTGTGTTTTCCACATCCCACATGATGCCCTGTTTTTGATTAGATTTTTATTGTTGAATTGAGCAGTATAGTATTTATTATTTATTTATTAGACACAACCAGGTTTAATTCTAATGCAATTTCGGTATACACAAGATATGTATGCATTTTTATTAGAGTTATAGTAGTAGGACTGAGAAATAATTTTGTATTAAAGCTGC